ACTCACTTCCCGTCGCGCCGCACTGGGACTCACTTCCCCTCGCGCCGCTCTGGGACTCACTTCCCCTCGCGCCGCACTGGGACTCACTTCCCCTCGCGCCGCACTGGGACTGCTAAAAGGGGAGTAAAAGAAGATAGAGAAAGCTCCAGGTATCCTACTGTCCCACCATCTTGCTCACACTGTGTGTTACTGCCAGCCTGGTCCAGATGCATTTCATTTGCTTACATCCTTCTTTATCCTGGGTTTGCACTCCTCGAACCATGTGTCTTGCATAGACATTTCTTTCAAGGTCTTGCAAAGTAGACCAGCTTTGCAGTTAGTGCAACAGACACATTTCCCCCAGAACTTGCTTACTTGCTGTATTCTGGCTTTCCTGCCGATACTGCTAGCTGCATGTAATGCTTGCAGATGTTGTTGGCCACCTACAATGGTTTCATACAGCCTGCCATCTTTTAGCACTGTTTTAATATCACAACTTCTCTATTCTCCACTAAGTTTTTTTCGAAGCTTTGATTGGTGTTGAAATCCTATTGTCTGCTCAGATAGCTCAACCTGTGCAAAAACCACAATCTCACCCTTGCCAGGACACATTACAGACAGTGGGATCAACTGATTCTCAATGTTGTTGCACGCAAGAATCACCTCCAAATGATGAACTCTAAAGTTCACTATTTGGTAGGGCTGATCCACCAGCTGTTCACACAGCTTCATAGGGTCTTTCTTACCCTATTGAGACAGAGCTGAAGTGTTAACTCTGGGCAACCCATCATTTGCAATGATTATCTTTATTTTTACTGCTTGATTATCCAGTTCTACAGTGACTAAATCTAATAAGCACAGGTCCATCATTACTTAAAAAGTCTAAATACAGGTAGAAGATGTGTAACCTTCCAAGCCATGCAAGGTAATTTGGCAGTCATCTTCCAGAAGTTCCTTTGCTTTTGCAGGGAACTCGCAGTCTTACTACAGTAGACAGGGTGGTTAAGAAGGCATTTAGCATGCTTGCTTTCATTGCTCAAACCACTGTGATTAGAAATTGGGACGTCATGTTGAGGTTGTAGAGGACATTGGTGAGGCCATGTTTGGAGTACTGTGTACAATTCTGGTTGCCTTGCTGTAGGAAGGATATTATTGAATTGGAGAGGGTTCAATAAAGATTTACCAGGATGTTACCAGGACTGAAGGGTTTGAGTTATAAGGAGAGGCTGCATAGGCTGGGAATTTTTTTTCCCCCAGAGTGTAGGAGGTTAAGGGGTGACCTTGTAGAGGTTTATAAAATCATGAGGGGCATAGATAAGGTGAATAGCCAAGGTCTTTTTCTGAGCTATGTGGGACTGTGCTCAATGAATCTTGCTGCATAAAACACGTCAACTAAAAATGGGAAAAATTAGCCTGTAATAATCACTAAGCTAGACTAACCAAACTTACAACATATGTTTCAGAATTTTAGCGTCTGTCATTTTTTTTAACTTTTGTAAACCGATTTAGAGGTCTGATTATTACAGCAATGCTAAAAACTTAAGAAGAATCTCTCTAAAATATGTAAATAGAAAATAAGCACACTGTACTCTAACAATGGTTTCTGTGAAGGTAATACAGGGTAAAAATGTTGCACAAATTGAATGTAATTTTGTCTCTGTTCTTCTCTCACAGATTTGACAATAAACAGCGTAAAACTAAAACATAATCTTGAAGATGTTGGAGACATTAAAGAAGGAAGCAACATAACTCTGACTTGTTCAGTGGATATCCTGACAGCTTCTGGTCAACCACCTCATATTTCATATTTAATCTATAAGGGACAGAAAGATGTTCTATTGAAACGTGATACAATTGAAGCGCAAGAATTTCAGTATGTAATACAATCTGCTCGACCCTCACATTCTGGATACTACCATTGTGAAGTGACAACAGGAAGTCAAAGGGAAGAAAGTACTTCCATGTTTATTACAGTTACAGGTACCAAATGAACCAAATACCTGATAACATTGGATGTAAAGAAAGATATATATAGTTTATTTTCATTACTTCAGCACTTGACTAATATAGGAAATGAGATATGCATCTAGTACACAGCAAGATCCCACAAACAGCAATGTGATAATTATGGAGTAATGAAAGACTGATGTATATGATTATGCATCAGTGACATCAGCAGTTATGTGCTAGAATCTGAGTAGAAAGCAGCAACAATCTGTACCAAAGGGAGATGTAATAGCAACATATAGCTTGTACTCATGTTTTGCAGAAACCTATCAGAGTCAAACTATAGTCACTCCTAGGTAGAAAAAAGTCCTCCTATGAACAGATGAATTAGGAACACTGGGCCCTCAAACCTACTCCACCATTAAATAGAATTATGGCAAATCTGATGACTCCTTGTTCCTGCCTATCCCCCATAACCTTTCATTCTTTGCTGACCAAGAATCTATCCACCTCTGCCTCTGAAAATATTCAGACATTTAGTGCCTTTTTAAGAAGTGAGTTCCAAAGATACAGGACTCTGTGAGAAAAAAAATTGCTCTGCATCTCAGTCTTAAATGACAATCCATTATTTTTAAACAGTGACCCCCTAGTTCTGCATTTTCCCTCGAAAAGAAACTCTTATTCCACACATACTGTGTCAAGACCCTTCAGGATCTGATATGTTTCAATTAAATCATTTGTGCTCTTCTACACTCAAATATATACAAGCTTAGCTTGTATAACCTTTACTCCTGCCAATCTATGTATTTCTCCAGTAAGCCTTCACTGAAGAGCTTCTAATACATTGAATTATTCCTTAAATAAGGAGACCAGCTCTGTACACAGTATCCCACATGTGGTCTCACCAATGCCCTGCATATGTGTGCCCTGAAGCATTATCTCCCAACTTTTGTATTCAATTCTTTTTGTTTTACACACTGTATTGACTTTCCTAAGTACTTGCTGAAACTGCACACTAAACTGTTGTGATCCATGTACCAGGGCACCCAGATCCCACTGAATTTCAGAGCTCTGTAATATCTAACCATTTGGATTATATGTTTTTTTTTATTTTCTTGTCAAAATGGACAATTACACACTTTCCCAAATTAAATTCCATTTGCCAGATCTTTGCTCACTCAACCTTTGCAAATCCATTTATGGCCTTCTTATGTCCTCTTCGCAACCTGCTTTCCTACCTATCTTTGTGTCATCAGCAAACCCAGCAACCAGAACTTTGGTTCCTTCGTCCAAGTCAGGTTATATAAATTGTAAACAGGTGAGGCCCTGGCACCAATCTCTATGGCACACCACTCATTATATCTGTCCAACCGGAAAGGTGCCCATTTTGTTTCCTGTTAACTAGCCAAGCATCTATCCTTTCTAATATGTTATCCCATACACTAGGAACTATTTTCTGCAATAACATTTGATACGGTACTGTATCAAATAACTCATCTAAGTACAATACATTCACTTGTTTCCCTTTATCCACGGCACTTGTTATTTTCTCAAACAATGCCAACAGACTGGTAACACATGATGTCCCTTTCAATAAACCATTTTGACTCTGCCTGATTACATTGAACGTTGATAAGACCCCTTTTAATACTGCTTCAGTAATAGCTCCTAACATCTTCCCTATGAAAGATATTAAGCCAACAGCCATGTAGTTTCCCATTTTCTGTGTCCTTCCTTTCTTTGAATAAAGAAGTTATAATCATTATATTACAATATAATGGAATCTTCCCTGAAACTGCTTTGTTTAATTGTGCCACTGCCCCTTCCGCAGCCATTTGAGAACTTCAGTGGTCCACAGAGCCAACAATTTGTGGAAGAGGCACTTCCAGAGGTAGTGAACTGTGTTAGCTATACATGCCAAAGAGCAGAAGCACCAGACTGGTACATACCCACATGCAATGGGGTCCATTGCAGATGGTGTCCTCGTGAGACAAGGAAGGATAGAAGAGATCTTTCAGATTTTGAAGCTGTCCTAAATTCAATGCTCAGTTCTCCCCAAAATAGAACCTCATAATTGAGTGAGCATGATATAACCAGATATCCCAAAGGCCAGAGGAGTCCATTAAATTCTACCTTGCAGACATCCACAGGTTAGTTAGTTGTAGTGGGTATAGAGCATGGAAGGATGAACTCAATTGTGACCAAATTGTCATCAGAGCACACAATGTGAAGCTGTCAGAGCTTTTGGAGATAGAAGGTGGCCTAACACTCCAACACAATATACAGGTTGAATAGAAAGTGCAAAATTGGGCCATAATCTTTGGAAATACTGAGGCTTCAGATGAGACTGTCAGTGGGGAGGCTGAAAAGCAGCAGCCCCACCCACTTGCAGAAAAGAACAGGAAAATCTGTACTTGCCATTTTGATTTAGAAATCACCATAGAAGGCAAAATTGCCCAGCAGGAGATGCAGAATCTTTCCAATGTACAAAGACAAGCCACTTCAAATAGTTCTGCAAATCTAACCACACACTTAAAGGAATAAGCCATGGTAACTCAATAGCTATCAGGCCGCCAAGAATTAAAATGCAAGTTTCATGTGGCAACATCTTCAAGTAAAGGGTCAAAACACTACCACACTTAGTCAATGTCTTTGAAAACCATAAAATTCAGGAAATGCAAGTGAGGAAAGTCGAGAGTACAGATTTTAAGTAAAAAAGCAAGATCAAAAATTTTGTCTCATTAGTCTGCATATTAGAGAATCCAAAACATAATCCAAACTTCAGGCATTACAGTCCTGGCTGACCATTTGGAACCGCTTAAAGCAGTAAAAAGATAAAGTCATCACAGTCTTACCAAATCATAGGGCTGCTGTCTCATTAAAGAGAGAGATGACTGGTGCGTTTTAATCTGAGGTTCACCACATGTCAAGCGATAGGAGAGCTTGAGAGAGAAAGTCCTTCATGGTAACTCAATAGCTATCAGGCCGCCAAGAATTAAAATGCAAGTTTCATGTGGCAACATCTTCAAGTAAAGGGTCAAAACACTACCACACTTAGTCAAAAGGGGAATGACGTCAATAAGACTCGATATCTTACACAATCAAAGAACATTATTACTTAGCATAAATCCATGTATACTACTGATGATGTTTGGCAGCAAGATAATAGGATGTGTTTTGTCTAAACTCCAACAGCTCTTTCAAATGTTTGGTCGGCTTAACCATGAATATCATATTATGTTGCTTCAACATGCTAAACTAATACACATTCCCAGGATGGAACCATGCTCATTGCTGGAGAAAATTAAAGAAGAGCTGGACACATTTATGTGAAGGTGTTGTATCACCAATCACAGAGCCTTGGAGATAGTAAGAACTGCTGATGCTGGTGTCAGAGTCAACACAGTGTGGAGCTGGAGGAACACAGCAGGTCAGGCAGCATCAGAGGAGCAGGAGAGTCGGCGTTTCGGGTTTACACCCTTCATCAGGACTGGGCTCACTGTAGAGTGTAGACCCAAAACATCAACTTTCCTGCTTCTCTGATGCTGCCTGACCTGCTGTGTTCCTCCAGCTCCACACTGTATTGAATCACAGAGCCAATTAGTTGAGGCTCAAAGCTCATGATGGATCCCCAGCTGAATGACTGAGTAAATCACTTAGACTTTGAATGAACCTGACACAATTAAACAAAGCAGTCCAGAGGGAAATCTATCTTGGCAGGACTTGTTAACAGCATCTTCACCAAGTTTGATACTAATAGTAGGTTTTGGCAGATGCTCCACAAGCAGGGGGCTGGGCTGCTAACACCACTCATTATGCCACTGAGGTAATTCAGCTTTGACCATCCTTCCTTTGGCACCTCACCAGCTCCAGAGATATTCCAGTGGACCATGTCAGTCAGAGTTAGAAATACAGGACTTTTTGAAGATCAAAGAGATCAGTTCTAGAATTGATAGATATAGGTGACACTCAATGAACTTCTTTTTTGAATAAGAATACAGTGATAGTGTCCCCATGTCCGAGTCAGAATTTCTGGGTTCAAGTCCCACTTCCTCCAGAGGTCTGTAATAATACCTTTGAACAGGTCGATTAGAAAATATAAGAAAAAGAGTTGGGTTCTTAAGGGCTCTTGCGGAGCAATGGTAGTGTCCCTATTTGTAGGTCAAGTCCCATCTGCCCCACACATGAGTCATAATATATCTGTGATGTGGAGGTGCTGGTGTTAGACTGGGGTGGACCAGGTCAGAAATCACATGACACCAGGTTATAGTCTCTCACTAACACCTGAAGAAGGACCGAGGCTCCGAAAGCTTGTGTTTTCAAATAAACCTGTTAGACTGTAACCTGGTGTTGTGTGATTTCTGATAATATATCTGAACAGGTTGATTAAAAACAATCTAATAAGCTGAGTTTCTTAGCGGTCATAAATCCGGCCTCTGCCTGTCTTCCATGGCTATGTTCATGTCTGGGTGTCCTTGGAGTGCGAGCAAGTGATGTCCATCAACCTTCTTGAGGCATTTAGAGAGAAGTGGATACTACAGGGACTGCAGTACATTATCTCCCCCTCCAACACCATTTTGGTTTAGTCCCCTCCTTCTTTTCCTCACTTTCCTTATCGTTGCGCAGTCCCTGATGGAAAATGCTAGTAACTTGTTGGCTTTTTAAATTTGTTAACTGGGTGATTTGATGGTGAGCTTAAAAAGAAAGAGCTGAGTTCTAGGGGTCAGAAGGCCTGGGTTGAAGACCCACCTGGGACAGTCACATCTGATTGAGTTTGCACTACATCTTTCAACTGGTGATAAGATAACTTGATGTTGGATGTACTAAAATAAAAAAGCAAGTTATTTCCCTCTGCCCCTTGATTATGTTCATGTCCACGTGTCCTTAGATTTGGAGCAGGCAGTATCCATCGGTACATTCAAAATATCCAGACAGAGGTGAACACCATGGGGCTGGGGTCCATTATTCCACCCCCCCCAACTTATTTTTATTTTATCCCCTTTCCCATTTCTCCTTTTTAAACTTTTTTTGCTATTTTTACACTGCCCCTGGTGGGTAGTGGTTATAATTGGGTGAGTTGGCAGTGACTTCTTAAAGTTAAAATGAGTTATCTTTTCTCCTCACATTTTTTGATTTTTTTTTTGTTTTTGCATCACTGGCTGTAGGCAGTTTCTTATTTGTTCGTTCAATGATTGGTTAATTTGGTTTTGGGTTTCTTTATATAAGAAAAAGCTGGGTTCCCTGCCCTGCAGCTCTGTGAGAGGGTGGGAGTTGGGGGAGGGTGTGGGGTCATGACAGAGAAATATCTGGAAGGGAACGATGGTAAATGATGTGCAGGGCTGGATGAACACAGCAAGCCAAGCAGCATCATAGGAGCAGAGAGCTTGGCCTGCTGTGAGCCTCTCTGCTTCTATGATGCTGCTTGGCCTGCTGTGTTCATCCAGCCCTGCACCTTGTTGTCTCGGATTCTCCAGCATCTGCAGTTCCTACTATCTCTGATGGTAAATGATGTTTGTACTGTCCTAGCTGCACATTTACATGGTGACTTAGGACTATCTTCTCAAAGACACTTAGGGATAGGGAGTATACCACCCAAATTCCATGAATATGAAAAAGCAAACAAAATAGGGGAGTGACATTCCAGAGAAATGAAATTGTAAAGCAGAAAAGTTATAGTAAATTTGTATGGATTCTTGGTTAGACCATTCTTGGAATACTGTTAAAGACGACATGAAGGCACTGAAGAAGGTATAAAACAAAACTTAGTGGAGTGATATCAAAAATGAGATGACATTCCTTTCTGAAAAGATTGAACACATTGTCATTTATTTATCTAGGAAAAGGCTTATGGTTTACCTGATAGAAGCCAGTAAGTTTATAAAAAGGTTTGATAAACCAGACAGTGTTGTTTCCCTCGCAAGGAGAAACTAGAACTAGGGAATAAAAGTGCAAGACAGTCACTAAAATTTCCGATTAGGGAATTCAGGAGAACCTTCTTTATCCAGAGAGCGGCAGGAATGTGGAATTGTCTATCGCAGCAAAAAATAGAGTAGATGCTCTTAAGATAAAGTTAGATAAATGCATAAAGAAGGAATGGAATATGTTGAAGGAGGTCAGGTGAAGAAAAGTGGAAACGGCTTGTGAGGAGCAAAAACACTAACATGGATCGGTTAGGCTGAATGGTCTTTACTGCCATATAGAAAAATAAGATGTTCATGGAAGTGCAAAATATGGACTGTTGCAAAGGCTGGATTAACTATTGTTTCTTTCCTATTTGTCTAGGCATAAAAAATGATTTCATTATTCCCTGTTTGTATACCTCAGGAAATTTACAGACACCTGTACTCACTATACAACCGATGGAGGTGGTTCTGGGAGATTCGACTGAGCTGTGCTGTACATCTGAAGAAATCCCTCCTCTTAGATTCATATTCTATAGATATAAAAATGGACCAAACCCCCAGCGTCTCCATGATACTACAAGCAATAACAAATCTGCAACACACCGACTGAAGGTGACAGCAGATGCAGAGAAAAACTATAGTTGTACAGTCGAAGTGAGTGCTACCAGAAGTATCTCAAAGCACAGTGAAATAGTACAACTTACAGTACATAGTAAGTTAATATGGGTAAATTAAGATATCTGAAAGTTAAAAATTCTATTTCAATTATTATAATTCTATGTACTACACAAGATCCAAAATTCCACAGTGATCCTCCCAGTCTCCTTCTATAACTGCAGAGGCAAGCCAGTGAAATGCCCAAACAAAGAGATGAAACCCAGGAGAACCATATATTAAAGTATTTACATATGATGGCCCAAATATTCTGTAGGTACTCTGCTCACTATAATTCTCACAGGAAATTGATAGAATCTTCAAAGAATAGAGGATATGGGGAATGGGATGTTATCTTATGTTTGTGCAGAGTTCAGGGCTATTCGTAACTCCTCAGATACTTAAGCGGTCAATGCATGTAACGAGACCTGGAAGACATTTAGGCTCTGGCTGATAAATGACATTTAACATTCAAGTCATATAAACTCCAGGTAATGACTATCTCCAACAACGATGTAACCATCTCCCTTTGAAGTTCACCAGGATTACCAATGTTGAATGCCAGCTGTCAACATTTTGGTGTAATCATTTATTAGAAAATCACCTGAACCATCCATATAAATACAATGGCTGCACCAGCAAGTGAGAGAGAAAGGGCTCTGCAGCAAGTAATTCACTTCCTATCTCCCCAGAGACTGTCCACCATTTGGGGCAGAAGTCTGAAGTGGGATGGACCATTTCTCCAGTTGTTTTGATGAATACAGCTCCTGTTGCTGTTTTGTGGACATTTAGAAAGTGAAGGTACCCTGAACTGAGCCATACAGACTTTTGGCTGATTAGTGCACCCCCGAACATGCCACGGATGCAAAGCGGGACTTTGCATTTTTATCCAGAAACTAAATACTTTTAAGACCTCCTTTGCTTTGTTGTCTGCCTATCTCAAATCTGCCTTGTGCTAGCCCTGTATTGTGGCCTTCAATTTGGCATTGTTCCAGTGAATAGGATTCTACTGTAAGCCCACCTGATGGCCACCAAGAGTCTGAGGAACAAATACGTAGGTAGATTATGGAAAGCTGCAATAACAATTGGATTATCATAGTGGGTGACTGTAACTTCCCAATTTTTGACTGGGACTCCCTTGGAGCAAGAGGTGTAGATGGGGTTTCTTGAAACAATATTTGGATAGCCCAACTAGAGGAGGAGGCCATGCTGGACCTTGTATTGGATAATGAGCCCGGCCAGGTGACAGACCTTTCAGTGGGAGAGTATTTTGATAACAGTGATCACAATTCCTTAAGTTTTAAGATAGCTATGAACAAGGATAAGTCAGGACCTTGTGAGAAGGTACTAAATTGGGGGGAGGGCAAGTTTAGTCGAAAGGGAAAAAGGAGCATATGTAAGGTTGAAGCTAAAATCGGACAGGGGCCGTAGGAATATAAGGAAAGCAGGAAAGTACTCAAGCAGGGGATTAGGAAAGCAAGAAGGAGCTATTAAATTACCTTGACAAGTAGAGTTAAAGAGAATCCCAAGGCTTTCTACAGATAAGTTAAAAACAAGGGGATAACTGGGGAGAAGGTAGGACCACTCAAGGATAAGGGAGGAAAGTTGTGTGTGGAGGCAGAGGATGTGGGGGAGATCCTAAATGAGTATTTTGCAACGGTATTCACCCAGGTAAAGGATATGGATGACAGTGAGACTTGTGTGGAGCTTGCTAATACACTAGGGTATTTTGAGATCAAGAAAAAAGTAGTTTTGGATCTCTTGAAGAGCATTAAGGAGGATAAGTCTCCAGGGCCTGATGATATTTACCCCAGGTTGTTTAGAAGGGCAAGAGAGGAGATTGCTGGGGCTTTGACCAAGATCTTTGCATCCTCACTAGACACTGGAGTGGTCTCAGATGACTGGCAAGTAGCTAATGTTGTTTCACTGTTCAACGGGGGAAGTAGGGATAATCCAGGAAACTATAGACCGGTGAGTCTCACATCGGTGGTTGGGAACCTATTGGAGAGAATTCTAAGGGATTGGATTTATGCACATTTGGAAAAGTATGGCCTAATAGGGACAGTCAGCATGGCTTTGTGCAGGGGAGGCCATGTTTTAGTAATTTGATTGAATTTTTCGAGGTGATGATGAAGGTGATCAATGAGGGTGGAGCAGTGGACATTGTTTTAGTAAGGCTTTTGAAAAGGTCCCTCATGATAGGCTCATCTAGAAGATTAAGATGCATGGGATCCATGGTGACTTGTCTGTGTGGATTCGGAAATAGCCTGCTCGTAGAAGACAGAGGGTAGTGGAGGAAGGATGTTTTTCAGGTTGGAGGTCCATTCCGCAGGGATCCATACTGGGAGCTCTGCTGTTTGCGATATATATAAATGACTTAGATGAAAATGTAGATGGGTGGGTTAGTAAGTTTGCAGATGATACAAAGATCATTGGAATTGCGGACAGTGCAGAAGGATGTCAAAGGATACAGTGAGATATAGTTCAATGGAAGATATGGGTGGAGAAATGGCAGATGGAGTTTAATCTGGGTAAGTGAGCTGATGTACTCTGGGAGATCAAATGTTAAGTAAAAGTACGTAATTAATGACAGGACTCTGAACAGTGTTGATGTACAGAAGGATCTTGGGGTTCAAGTCCATAGCTCCCTGAAAGTGGCCACACAAGTAGATAGGGTGGTAAAGAAGGCATATGGCATTCTTGCCTTTTATTGGTCAGGGAATTGAGTACAAGAGTAATATTGCAACTTTATAAGACTAGGCCACACTTAGAGTACTGCATTCAGTTCTGGTCACCAAATTACAGGAAGTATTTGGAGACTTTGGAGAGAGTGCAGAGGAGGTTTACCAGGATGCTGCCTGGATTAGAGGGTATGAGCTATAAGGAGAGGCTAGAAAAACTCGGGTCTTTTTCTCTTGAGCGGTGGAAGCTGAGGGGAGACTTGATAGAAGTTTATAAAATTATGAGCTGCATAGATGGGGTTGACGGTCAGAATCTTTTTCACAAAGTTGAAATATCTAATGCTAGGGGCGTGCATTTAAGGTGCGAGGAGGAAAGTTCAAAGGAGACGAAAGGGGCAAGTTTTTTACACAGAGTGTGGTAGGAGTCTGGAACATGCTGCTGGGATGGTGGTGGAGGTGGATACAATAAGGACATTTAAGGGACTTTTCAATAAGCACATGAATATGCCAGGAATGGAAGGATATGGACCAAGGGCAGGCAGAAGGGATTAGTTTCATCTGGCGTTATGTTTGGCACAACATCGTGGGCTGAAGGGCCCGTTCCTGTGCTGTGCTGTTCTATGTTCTATGAATCTGGGAGAAATTTATAGGGAAAACTTGGAATCCTTCCACCCTATGCAAAAATTTCTCCATCTCTCCACCACTTTTCCCAGGTAATTTTCTATTTTTTAAAATTTTTTGTGGCTGTAAGTAGCTCCAGACATGAAGACACACTGCACTGGCTTTTTCCACTTCCCTAAATCATAATGTACGTGTCGTGTGATTCACTAAGTTAAATGTATATGTGCAGAAGTGCAGAAGATTATTTTCCAGCAAGGTTGGAACTGGCCAGGTTAGCAATACAGATCCTTAAACAGAGGGCAGAGGAACTATGACAATACGACAGGGTGTATAAAAATGTCAGGCTATCTTTTCCCCCACAGATTGAGTCCCACTCCCATGCCAACCCCACCATTCACCAGATTTGCCAGCCCCATCTGTGCCAGTGACCACAGAAAGATGGCCCTTGCAAATTAGGTGTCCTTCCACTAAACCCATAAGTGGCTCAGATTAATTTCCAGGGCCTAGAAATGCCATCATTTCTACACAAAAAGAAAAATCAGCAGCTCTCCTCAGTTGCAAGAGATCAATAGAAAGCCTCACCAGCCAAAAAGTGGTACAGAATGAGCTAACAGGAAAGCAGTGTGTTAAAGATGTTGATTTTGTAATGTCAGACACCTCTCATTGTTTACTCACAACATCTACTTTATATTTCAGATCCATTTTCAGGTCCAATATTTGAAATTGAACCATCAGATAAAATAGTTGAAGGAGGTAATCTCACCATTAAATGCAGGGTTACGTCTTTGCTCCCTCATGTAAAACCTCAATTAATCATTATGAAGGATACAACTCCAATACGCACAGGAAGTGCAAGCTGTGTGGTATTTTCTAAAACAGCAAATGTAACTGATGCAGGAGACTACGGGTGCATGGTGAAGTGGAACAGTCTATCTCAAACAGTAAGAAGACAAGTGAATGTGACAGGTAAGTCTGGTATAGGAACGGGACTAGTCTAGATATCATTCTTGTAAACCTTGTGTACTCCTTCCAAGGCCAATATATCCTTCCTAAAGTGTGGTACCCAGATCTGTTCACAGTGCTCCAAGTGAGGTCTGACCGAGTTTTTGTATAACTGCATCCTCATACTTCAGTCCTCCAGATATAAGGGCCAACATGCCATTGGGCTCCTAGATTATTTTCCATACTTGTTTGTGGCATTTTAAAGATCTATGCACCTGAACCACACCCTCTCCCAGGACACCCACTGTATTTAACTTCATACCATCTAGAAATATATGGCCTAAAAATAGTCTTGGTGACTCTAAACTGAGAAATGTTGTTGATGTCGGAATCAAAGTGCGTAGCAGGGCTGGATTTGCAAACTATGTTTCCTCAATGTTTCTCCGTCTCTTTGGATTCCCACTGAAATTATAGCAGTGGAGCAGGATAAGGCTCAAGGTAATTTCTTCCTTTTATTTTCCTGCATGCCCTGAATATTCCTAATCACCACCTTCTGTTCAACTTCTCACCAGCCATAGGTTTTGTGTCCTGTTCTTGATAATCTCTAAATGAGATTTCTAATAGGAACTAAAAACTGAAGTAAATAACTGCAGCAGGCCCGGGGATATTCCGCTTCCCGACAACTGTGGAATGTCAATCCAAAGCAATGAAAAGGAGGAAAGGTCAGAGGCCCACACTACATCAGCTCTCCATCCCAATGTGCAACTGTAAGATTCTGTGCCATCCTAGTTTAAACTGATATAAAGTTGGAAGGAACATTCTCAGCTTCCAGGCTCTCACTCCTATTCAACAGTACAGTGTTTGAAGAAACAAAGTATTGGGATTTATGCTGACATCCCTGCATGCTAGAAGCAACTAGTGCTTGGGTTCTCAGCTGTTCAAAAATTCTCTGCAAATTAAGGAATTTTTGCCTCCATTTTGGTTACTTATCTCTAAATGGCTCATCCCTTTAAATTGCAGTTTACATGCAGTTTTGAGTAATTCCCATTTTTTAACTTCTTCTACAAAGCCAAAGCTGCCCAAGCAGTTGTGAATAATTGTGTCAAGACTGCTGCTACAAGGGCAGGTTTAATTGTTCCGGTATGAGATGTGCCCACAGTTGAAGGGAACACCCGCCTTAAAAAGCTGCCCCAAAGGGCCCAGAGCTCCATAGTTCCCCTTCTTGACTGACATCTACCCCCACACCTGACTACCAGCCCAGCAGCAGCATGCCCTGATGTGAGTAAAATTACAGCACAGACAAAATGAAGCCTTTAAGTTGCCATTAATTGGCTACTTAAGGATCGCACTATAAAATACAGGCAGTCAGTCAGGGCCAGATATTGAAAACATGGACCCAATGATGCCCCTGGCCTGGGCCATCACCCATCTGACCCATGCACAGTAACCCTGCCCCCCTGACCTGTGCACAGTGACCCCACCCTCTCACCCATGTGCAGTGAACCCTCCCTCTGACCCACGCGCAGTGACCCTGCCCTCTGACCTGTGCACAGTGACCCCGCCCTCTGACCCACACACAGTGGCCCCGCCCTCTGACCCACGCACAGTGACCCAACCCTCTGACCCACGCACAGTGACCCCACCCACTGACCCACGCACAGTGAGCCCTCCCTTTGACCCATGCACAGTGACCCTGCCATCTGAGCCACGCAGAGTGACCCCGCCCTCTGACCCATGCACAGTGACCCCGCCCTCTGACCCACGCACAGTGACCCCATCCTGTGACCCATGCACAGTGAACCCATCCTGTGACCTACGTACAGTGACCCCGCCCTCTGACCCACGCACGGTGACCCCATCCTGTGACCCATGCACAGTGAACCCATCCTGTGACCTACGTACAGTGACCCCGCCCTCCGACCCACGCACAGTGACCCCACCCTCTGACCCACGCACAGTGACCCCACCCTCTGACCCACACACTGTGACCCTGTCCTGTGACCCACACACAGTAACCCCACCCTCTGACCCATGCACAGTGACCCCTCCCTCTGACCCACGTGCAGTGACCCCTCCCTCTGACCCATGCACAGTGACCCCACCTTCTGACCCATGTGCAGTGACCCCTCCCTCTGACCCACGTATATTGACCCTGCCTTCCAACCCATGCACAGTGACCCCGCCCTCCGACCCATGCACAGTGACCCCGCCCTCTAC